TGAGCGATTTTTTGATCGCCTCTTCGCGAAGACTGAAGAGCGAAGAATGGGTGAGACATATGACAAAATCACTTATTACAGATTTTATGTGTCAAATACAAACTTCACAATCTTTTCTTGTTGCTTACACAAACAAAATATTATCATTATATCTTATTAATCCATAATTTCATAAAACATTACTATAGCCAAAATGAATGAATGGAATGCACCCTGTACTCAAATCTCCTGAAGCTATTATTCATTTTCCTCTAGGCTTTTTACGTTTGCAGGCTCTCAACTTAGTGTTCTAGATGCACTTACACAGTTATTAATTGATAGCCAATGCATGCATTTTTAAATAGTGTCCCAAGCACAATGATACTGTATTGCCCAGGGAAGTCGAGAAAATTTCCAACCAGAAAGATTTCTTTGACCAGACCAGGAATCGAACCCACTGTCTCCGACTCGGTAATACCAACCGGTGGAAACTAACGATTTTAAATTGGCTCACTACTTGACTAGCCTATTGCTCCCTAGCAAATCGATTAACGGACTCCATTCTTGTCTAAATTCTAGTACTACAGTATGTTTGTTTAGATTCGCTATGAAAGTTTGACAGATAAAATGAGGGGTTCGTGGATTTTCCTATGTTTCGGGGGTGCATCGACTAGCTTGGGACCGAAAAGAGTACCAGAGCTGAGCCAAAAAGTTGAGCACGTTTCTTCGGGACCTTTTGGTCTTAGAGTTACCCCTATGGTAATATCATGCCTTTACTGACTAGGCTATGTGAGGTCCCTAGAGTTCTTGATACTGTTCTGAAATAAACGAAACTGCCCTGAATACCTTTAGACATCCCTGAAGTTTTTTAGAGCTCACTGGACTTTCCTAAAATACTCGGAACTTCTTTCGAAATTCTACAGGTGGTAATAGAAATGTCTTGAACTTACAGGAACGGACCCTTCCAAATCTTCAAACTTACCAACAAATCTGGATCTGATGCTCCTAAAACATCCCTGAAATTATTTGGCCCACCCTTAGGATCTCTGAAAATCCCTAAAGATCTCAAGAACTAGCTACTCTAAGATACTTGGAACTTCTTTAAAGTTCAATAAAATTTCCTCAGTCGGTGAAAGCGCAGCAACAAAGCAAGGCCATGCTGAAGGTAACTGGGTTCGATTCCCGGCCCGGTCTAGGCATTTTTCGGGTAAGAAAATTTCTCGACTTCCCTGGGAATAGACTATAATTGTACTTGCCACACCATTATACTAATGCAAAAATGGTACATGCATCGAAAGCTCTCAATTAATAACTGTGGAAGTGCATCTAGAACACTCATTTGAGAGCACGCAATAAGCTAATATGCTATAAGGAACAAGCTTCAAATGCAAAGAAAAAGAAGAAGAAGACGAAGAAGAATAAGAAGAAAATTTCTTTAAGATCTCTCTTCTCTGAAGTTTTCTTCATTTCCCTGAAGCTCTCTTGATATCTCCAAAGTTCTCAGAACTTCTTAAAAGATCCTGCAGTTTTCCTGAAGCTAATGGAACCTCCTTAGAATTGTTGATGCTTCCCTGAAGTTCCAAAAAAAATTTCCATATTTTTACGGAACTAACCTTGTTTCCGCCGCTATTATAAACATACTAATTTGAAATTCTTGGCGTTTAATTTCATCCCTCAGAGCGTTTTTAAAGTTCATACAATATTATTGAAGATCTCTTATCTTTCCTGAAGCTCATGGAACTTCCCTGAAATTCTCGCAATTCTCCAGATCATGATCCTGGAAATCAATAGAACTGCCAAAAAGATCCTTAAACCGCCCTGAAGCTTTCTGGACTTTCGTGAATATATTGGATCTTCTGTAAAGTTCTTGGAATATTTCTTAAGTTCACTAAAGCTCCCTCAACCTCTTTGGACTATACTTAAATTATCGGAACTACTTGAAGGTTCACGCTATTTTCCTGAAATCATGTAAATGTCCTGAAGATTTCAGAACTGCCCTGAAGCTAATGAAAGTGCACTCAAACCCCTTAACTTAAGTGAATTTTCCTGAAATCTTTCGAACCTTTCTGAAGCTATCGGATCATTTTGGAATTTTTTAGAACTTCAATGAAATTCTCAGAATGTTTTAAAGGCTCCCGAATTGTATCTTATGATAATGGATCTATCATCAGAAAACCTAACAAACATTCACAAGTTTAAATTGTTTGAAAAAGGCGGATTTTTTCTTAAACATAGCGGAGCAATATTGCTGGACCTTAAGGTGCAATTTACTTTGATGTATTTTCGAAAAATTCAAACACAGTCTTTTCACGCATCAATTCTGGTTGTTAATCGCTCTAGTCATTACATTTCTTTACACAAAATGACGTGAACTTTTTGCAATATGAAATGATGCGCTGTTCAAAACCTCGGATTGCATTTTTCGAAAATGCATCAAAGTAAATTTCACCATAAGAGCACCAATTGAAAATTAGCAGCCAAAAATTTCCCAAACGAATTTGGAGATGTAAGTATCTGTCTCTATAGAAGCGCATGGGCAATCATGAGCCGGGTAACATGAAATCAAACTGTTTGTATTTGATGGGTGCAACAAATTTTATATATAATGAGTGCAGGTTATGTGTATGCTACATGTTTAGACGAATTTCTTTTCTAACAATTTTCAATCACGAAAGGCGGAGCAATACTTGTTCTCCTTCGAGAGCACATATGCGCATAACCCGAGCAAAGTCCAGCATCCAAATGACAGCAAATTGAAAGCACCTTTTGATATCAACATGTAACTCAAATTAATAATTTGATCGCAAACCAAATTTTACCCGATGATAGAGGCCAGTGCTGATAAAAATCATTCCTTCTACACTCAACTTAGCTGAAAATGAGGACAACCTCAATCAATCGAATCAAAACAAACATAGTGTAGTACTAGAATTTCGACTATAATGGGGTACGTCAATCGATTTGCTTGGGACCAATAGGCTAGTCAAGTAGTGAGCCAATTTAAAATCGTTAGTTTCCACCGGTTACTAGCACCCTCTATCATGCACATTCCGAAGCATTGCTAAGCAACCGGAGCATCCCTCGTTCATGCATTTTTTTCACTAGTTGCTTTTCCCTCGTTCTGTCAACGCGTCAGCTGTGTTGAATAAAAACAAAACAGATGGAAGTCAGTGATTTCGGCTCTACGAAATTTTCCGTAGATCTATAGAATTGATTGAATTTTGCAGAAATACGGATCCGTAGGAGAAATTCACAGAAGCTCAGTCTTTTGTAAAGATTTGTTTTGATTGTTAAGTGTGATTTTTTTTTGCTGGAAACAAATTTTTAATAGTGGTAATGCATCACTTATGAGTGCCCTTTCTACCACCGCTCATCACTTTAATGTGAACAAAGCAAACAATATGTATCAATCAATGTTATTCAAGATGTATTGAACATCTGTTGCTAAAAGTGGATACAATATTACACTCATTTAAATTATTTGTTCTCAAATTCTGTGTAATATTACTCAACAAGCGGAATGACCAATCGACTGTTTGAGTATAATATTCAACAGCTGTTTTCTGTATTCGTCAGATTAGTATGTGGTACAGTAAAGACCCGATTTTGTCGATCCCTCCGCGCATTAGACTTTTACCATTAAATTATTTCATAAAATCGTAATTCCAAATCATTCTCATGCATATTCAAGATGGGTGTTTAAGGTATACTTTGGTCCAATAAGACCGCTGAAAAATCGCATGGGTTTCGTAGAACATAAGAAAAGATTTTCAAAAAAGGAGCTGTGATGTCTCCAGTGGGATCCCTTGGCCCCCTTATGTTTATCAAGAGCTGACATATACTAAATTGACCTGAAAAAGAACTGGCATCACTGATAAGTTCGCAATGTAGTGGCTTGCTTAACGCTTCATTGGCGCCACCATGACAAATACAAGCACATTCCCAACTAAAACCTTATTTGCGAAGAATGTATGGTGAGTGTTATGTATGTTTGTCTGTGGTTTTAGGCTCTGGAATCGACAATATTCAAATAATCATTTTGCCCAAAAAGAATTTGATTATTTTACTTTTGAGGGTCGCTTCTAATTTTGACAATTTTGGGTTGGATAATCAAGCAGTGGTGAATATCAACAAATTCGTTGATGTACCATGAACTCATTTGTTCGTTTCGCTCGTACTTCACAGTGAAGATATTCAAAACAAACGCAATTCATCTACCCTGGGATGATATGCTACTCCTTGCGTGTGATGGTAATTGATAAAAACATACACTGATAGAGGCATCATTCATCTACCTGTTTGTGTTGCTAGTTTTCGAGTAATTTTCGGGAAATCGGCCATTTTACGAGTTTATTTACAAAAGTAATTACACCCTAATCTCGAAGTTCTTTGAAGGTTTTATTACACATGGTTCGTTGGAACATGGTCTGACTTATCAGCAGTTCGGCTCATATGAAGACATCACAAAATACCTTCATTCGTGGATAGCCTCAAAAGACGAACACTTCTACACTTCTAGATGCGAAAAAGTTTTAGCTAGCGATGGACAATATTTTGAATGATACATTTGTAACCAATTTTTCACAATAAAGTTGTATTTTCAAAAAAAAAAAAAACAGCGAGAACTTAGTTGAGCACCTAATATATTTGTTTTGTTATTATTGAATATGCAGAACATCAAAGTGAATACTTGTATGGTCATCAACAAGAAAAATGTACATCAAATTGAGTTTTCGGTTTGCTCTCACTGATAGCAGAATAAGTTTTCAAATATGATGTCACAGGAAGATCTTTGATTTTTTAACCAACTAAAACGTCAGCAACCTTTATCATTATCAGCGAAATCACTACATCAAATTTAGTTTTCAATTTGATCTCTGACTTTGCTCGGGAAGCGGCCCGAATAGAACCAAACTATGTACACCGTTTTCGTTATATAAACTAAATTTTATTTTCAGTACCGGTATACCGGTTAAATCTAATATTCAAATTATTGATTCAATTAAGTATACACCACTTACCATGTGCTTCAGAGCAACGCAGTTGAAACGGTCCGCTCGTTGTTCCTTGCCACTCTAAGTCTCTCGGCTCAATGATGCAACTCGAAAGTAATAAAATAAAACCAACAAAACAGAAGCACTTCGGTGCTTCACTTGCACAACTTTCCAGTGGGTAATTTTCTGTTTACCTACCCAAAAGGATACCAACACTCCGATACACTACTCCGGGTTCACTTTACACGGTACTTATCAGCCCCGAAAACAGCAATTCTTGCGGTTTCTTCTTTTTCTTCACCAGCGAATCAAATATCGGCAAACTAACAATTTCTTCCGCTGCAATCACAACAGCTCCAACCAGCTAGAACCACAACTAAAACAACAAACACCAATCATATGGCTTTTCTTCTGACGCCCCGCGCAATCTCGTTTTGTAGCACCCCCCACACAACGGGAATACTAGTTTGCATTGGCTCAAGAGATACACTATTTTTACAGGCAGTTTATTTTCTCTCTCGTCATAAAACTAAACTTGTTGTATTTTTAAGAGCACGGCATCGGATCTTTTTCAGCGTGAATAAATTTACTCAGACACGGCAACCGGCGATGTCAGCTTGGTGACGATGACGAAAACGACGGCGACTACGGCTACGACGGCAGCAGCGATGAAATTTTCGTGAGCTATTTGTTTTCATTCACAACGACCGAGATTACTCTTTTGCATTTCGATCGATCCTTGGATGCTGAGGAAAAACATCAACAATCAGAAATTATTCCACTTTGCTTGCCTTTTCTTTTCATTCACTCTGTTGGAAGATCGACGAACAGCAGCTTCACTGTGTTCTGTGAAAGAAAGATAAACATTATGTTAGAGTGAGGTATGTTTTGACCAAGAGTTGTGGTTTATACTTGAACTAAACAAGCATTCAAAAACTTTGAATGAAACAAACGCAAATTTCGGGGTCCTCCTATCTGAGCAAATATATGTTTACCTTAAAGCTTTATATCTCAAAAGCGAGAGAATTAAACGCATACAAACAAACTTTATTACTATGGAGACGCTTGGTGATTTATTAATTTAATGAATAATCACCCATCTCCATAAGTTGAACATTTTCACACGATTGTTCGACTTTTGCCGGATTTTTTTTCTCAAATTTACTATCTTTAAATCCGTCCATTTGGCCTCTTTCAGAGAATTAGTTCCAAAAACAAATCCATTGCTTTCATGTTGGCAAAATATTGTCATTTGTGAAAATATTTTTTCCATATATTCATGGCAGAAAATGTATAACACATTCGGGTCCCTGATGGAAGATGCTTGCTATGCTGCTACGTACCGTACGCTACATACTGCACTGCATCCTGCTGCACTGCTGCTATCACACTAGCCAATGATGGTGCGGATTACGGTTTAGCAGCGACGGCTGGGGCAGCAGCGAGGCAAAGTCATCGAACAAGTTCGCCTGGAACCTGAACCCGCCCGTGAAGCTGTGTGACTTCTTTTTCGCGGAACGAGAATTAGTTAAATTAACACCGTGTGTTTGTGTTGCCTATATCGCGTTTATTTCAAACCTACAGCCTCCGTTTCCCAGCGGACATTTTTTTTTCCAACCGCGTATATTGCCTAGCACCGAGAGTTTCTGATATCACGACGAGGATGGTCTGGTCTTGGTCTACGCTGCTTCGAAAAACACATCCCGAAACGGACGATTTACGATAGCTGAAGGTATTACTGAAGCACTGCGAGCTCGTCTAGTCGAATGACAAAAATTCAGCACTTCCTGGCGCGAGATGCCACGCACCGTTTGTCTTTTTTTTTTATCTCTATCCAGGTTCACTTCTTCAACGACGGACGGCAACGACGACGCTCGATCATGAGGCTCGTTCTGCCGCGGTTAGTGATGTATGCTAAGCATATTTAACTCGTTTGTTAGCCTGAGATGCTGCCTTTGCTGCTACTCACATTCGTTGTGCTACACACTGGCAAAACCGTGCGGCAGTAGGGGCAGTGGCAGTGGCGGCGTCGGCAGAGGTATGACTCCTCCTTTCCCCCAAGGGCAGTAGGAAGTTCGCCAGCAGAGAACAAGAAAGATGCAAGCTAAAAATAAATCCGTAAAATAATAAACAGAGATATGAGTGAATGAGAAATACAGCACGGGCTAAAACAGACGGCCAGCGGAATACGAATATTTTATATTAAAATTTATTTGCTCAAGATAAAAGCGTCGTTTAGCTGCGGGTAGAGGTTTATATAGGTGTGTGATGGCCAGAGGTTTCGGGAGCTGCAGTCTACTTGCACGGGCATGAACAGTGATCGCGTACAGGAAAGGATAAATAAAACCAATTAAGAACCGCAGCAGGACCCGAGACGATTATTGGTGAGATTTGCTGTTAATGGGAATGTATTTTCCTTGGAATGTTTGTTCTGCACCTTTATTGGATTTTATGACTTCGGTCAAACTACTATGCCAATGATCAGCAGTGTCATAAAGTGGCTTCCTCTTGTGTGTTTGGTAATTTATAGGATAAACAACAAAAGGTAGGCTTTATACACATTTGAACGTTATCTAATTACGTGATGATTGTAACTTTTGATCCCTTTTCTACCATTCTTCTAGATCGAGCCCTAACCATAAGCAAAATTTTGGGACATCTCAAAAGAAAAGCGAGGCAATGTCATTTGTGACTCTCTGCTATATAACTTGATTGGAACGGTGGAATGAGATAACCAAAATGCTCGCATTACTTATTCCCATTCAAGGCAGGAATCATTCACCACTGGATTAATATCACATTTTCAATACAAAAAAGTGCGCAGCAGAGCAAATCCATGCCAAATAGTGAAAAAAAAGAATGACCCTCTCCGATTTCCATGAAACTTTGCATAATGGTTCGCTATGGGCAATCATTGAAATTTGTGAAAGAATTCGGCCATTTTGAGTCGCACATCATGCTTCAAAATGTCGTATTCGATATTTTTCATTTATTTACGGCAACACAACTTTTCTTCTAATCGGAATGACGTCTGCGACAAAGTTGAAGGAAACCAGATAGCATTTTAAAAAATTGTGCTGTAATGGTACATGTGGAGTTGGTTAATATTTCATATGAGCACCCCTTTAAAGAGAGCCCGTAATTGTAATTTCGGAATGTACACGCATTTCAGTTCTCTCTAATTAAAACTAGTATACGGATTCCAGGATCGCCATAAAACTTAAAAATAATTTATTTTTCGGATATTCTGATGAACGGTGGATCAAAACGCTAGGATCTTTTATGTCCGACGTGTCGGTCTTTCAACTTGCAAGGTGTCCATTCAATTCAAATTTTTCAATTCCCGGTTTATTCCCGGATCCAACGCAAACATCGCCTCTGTCAAGCGGCGCCGGTAGTGTAATGGTAAGCATGATTAACTCTCACCCCAGCAGGCCTGGGTTCAATCCCAGTCGGTCCCGTCAGGATGTTCTGAGACAACATCTCTAATCACGGAAGTACAGCCGTTGGTCGCCGGTTCATGAATTGATGGGTCGATAGGTAGGGTCCAGGTGTGGGAGCTGCCTCCCTGGCGTCGGTACCATTGGTACTCAGCACGGCAAACAATATCGACGGAAAACAAACCAAGGAAAAAAAATCGCCCTTTCCTAAACAGAAAATGATAACCGTTTATAGTTAATCATTTATTTTTTCATCAGAATTGGTCTACAATACGTATAATTGTAGATTTGCGTTAACTGTTGATGACCTAGATCTACAAAATCTCATGGACTCATGAATTTGTATAAAATCAAAGACCGCCTGCAAAAAATGATTTTAAATATTGTTTTGATAAGTCGGAAATAGCATATGGGTCATTCCAGCTCAAGTGAGTATAGAATTTTAGAAAGTTGTAGTCGATGTCACCGAAGTTAGCCGTCGATGCTATTCGCGATATCAACGAGGGATTCAGAGGAAACTAAAGTCGCACCCGAAGTCATTCTGGAATTACGTAAATGAGCAGCGCAAGGAATCCGGCCTACCTTCTTCAATGGTGTTGAATGGAGCAGTTGCTTCCACTCCTCAGCAGATCTGTCGCTTGTTTTCTGAGAAGTTCGCCAGTGTTTTCACGAATGAGAGATTTACTGACGAACACGTTACCCTAGCAGCTAGTAATGTTCCACTGTACGGTCAAACACTGGGTGCGATGGATGTCAACGTCGAGATGATTTCCACTGCCGCATCACAACTCAAGTCGTCCTTCAATCCAGGACCCGATGGCGTTCCATCCGTATTCCTGAAAAAGCATATCGCCAGCTTGCTGATGCCCATGCTTCACCTATTTCGATTGTCCATCTCGAGCGGTACATTTCCATCTTGTTGGAAATTCGCACATATGTTTCCTATCCACAAAAAGGGCAGCAAACGGGATGTGGACAATTATCGTGGAATTACGTCGTTGAGCGCAGTTTCGAAGTTATTCGAGTTAGTCATCATGGAGCCTCTACTCTCTCATTGTAAGCAGTATCTAAGTGGTGATCAACACGGCTTCACTTCCGGTCGTTCTACTTCCACAAATCTGCTGTGTTTGACATCGTATCTTACGGAAAGCATGGCAGAGAGGACTCAAACAGACGTCATATACACCGACTTGTCAGCTGCTTTCGATAAGCTAAACCATGCCATCGCGATTGACAAGTTGCATAGACTTGGGGTCAGCGGCAACCTCTTGCGATGGTTTCGTTCATATCTCACTGATCGGCAACTGATGGTTGCCATTGGTGACAACCGGTCCAATATCTATCTAGCTACGTCAGGAATACCTCAAGGAAGTCACCTCGGACCATTGATTTTCTTACTCTACTTCAATGACGTGAACTTGGTCATCGAAGGCCCATGACTATCGTATGCAGACGATCTTAAAATCTACCTACGAATCCACTCGATTGATGGCTGTCACTTCCTCCAACGTCAGTTCGAAGCCTTTGCCAGCTGGTGTAATTTGAACCGAATGGTGGTTAACCCCACTAAGTGTTCAGTGATCACTTTTACTCGGAAGAAAGAACCAATCACATTTGAATACAAACTTATCGGCACTGTAATCGACCGTGTGAACCATGTGAAAGATCTGGGTGTTATTCTAGATTCTCAACTTACGTACAAGCAGCACATCTCGTACGTTGTCGACAAGGCGTCTAGGACATTGGGATTTATCTTCAGGATAGCAAAGAATTTCTCCGATATCTACTGTTTGAAGTCACTGTACTGTTCCTTGGTGCGATCCATTCAGGAATATTGTTCTGCAGTCTGGAGTCCAAACTACAACAATGGTGCTGAGAGAGTTGAGTCCGTTCAACGCCGTTTTCTTCGATTCGCTCTGCGGAAGCTGCCTTGGAGAGACCCATTTCATCTGCCCAGCTATGAAAGTCGTCCGTGCCAGCTGATTGATCTGGAGCCTCTCCGAACTAGAAGAGACACCTCTAGGGCCCTGTTCATTGCGGACACTTTACAAGGTAGAATTGATTGCAGTGCAATCTTGGGGCAAGTCAACATTAACGTCCAACCCCGTGCGCTACGTAACAACGTTATGCTGAGATTGCCACTTCAGCGCACAAACTATGGCATGAACGGTGCAATAGGTGGGCTGCAACGAGTGTTCAATCAAGTCTCGGGCATCTTCGATTTCCATATGCCTCGACAGCTGCTACGAAGATACTTCTCATCGTTCTTTTCTGGCACAGTTAACCGTGAAAGATTGTGTGTTTTATCTATGTATTTTATTCTTAGTTTTTATTTTTTGATTTACCTATATCAGTTACTTAAATCATCATTGGGGCTTTACACAGCCTGTTGATGCAGACAAATAA